TGCTTTAAAGTGAAGCAGTGTATCAGAATGAAAAAGAATCAATATCACCACTTACAATGAATCTTGAGATCCCTTCTTAAAAGCCATCTGGTGCCTGCCCGCCTGACCCATTGCAAAGGCTAAGGCTAATGGCCCTGCCTATGCCACAATGATCCCACTATGCATTCAACACAGATCTCTTAAACAGGAAACCCAGATTTACTCAAAGTCTGAAATATTCTATCCACTCAAAGAGCACCTCTGGAAAGGTAGAGATACACTGCTGTTGGGCATATACATTGGCACCTTATTTTTTTAAATATTTTATTTGTTGTTGATGGACCTGAATTTATTTATATGTGGTGCTGAGGATCAAACCCAGCGCCTCACACACTCTATACAAGTGCTTTACCACTGAGCCACAACCCCAGCTCAACAACTGATTTTTTTTTTAATTTTTTATTGTTGGCTGTTCAAAACATTACATAGTTCTTGATATATCATATTTCACACTTTGATTCAAGTGGGTTATGAGCTCCCATTTTTACCCCATATATAGATTGCAGAATCACATCAGTTACACATCCATTGATTTACATATTGCCATACTAGTGTCTGTTGTGTTCTGCTGCCTTTCCTATCCTCTACTATCCCCCCTCCCCTCCCCTCCCCTCCCCTCTTCTCTCTCTGCCCCCTCTACTGACATTCATTTGTCTCCCTTGTATTATTTTTCCCTTTCCCCTCACTTCCTCTTGTATGTACTTTTCAACAACTGATTTTGACAAGAAATTTGGTATGACCTACTTGTTCTAAAAGTATACCCAAGATGCAACTTAGAGACATAACTGAGCAACCTCATGGAGAAGCTAGCAGCATTCAAAGAAAATTTATTACTTCATTTCCCAAGAGCATGGGGCACTCCACACTGTGCAAGGCCACGGTGGAAGCATCTGTGTGGTGAGAAGGAAGCAGACAGCAGTGAGGGGAAAGCTGAGGACACAGCCTAGCCCAGGCTCCTAGGGAAAGGCAGGGAGGGTGAACAGCTTGTAATCTGCCAGTTTGGATAGTTCTGTCTGGATGCAGGGCTTAAGGGTAGTCTCAAGTTACCTGGAACCTAGCACAGGGTTGATTTAGGGCAGAGGAAATATTGGCTTGTTGTGTGAGAGTTTGATAAGGAGCTGGTTGAGGGTATAGAATATGGATTGGTTTGCCCATGAAAAGCGTCTTCCAGCTGAGCTCTTTGCAATCTCTAAGAAAAAGTAGCCCTAGGAGGGGCAATATCACCCCAGGCCTGTAGGGCCTTCAAATGCCAGAGCATCAAAAATACAAAAAAAAAAAATTAAGAAAATATAGTTAATATAATTGACCCTGCAATGAGTACATGCTGAATAGACAAACACTAAGAAAACACAGAACAATATCCATGCTGAAGATACAGGTCCCTCTTGTGCAGCAATTTTCTTCCCAGATAAAAATCTAGAGAAACATATACACTAAGAAATGTATCCAAATTTTCAGATCAGGGAGTAAATAAATCCTCAGTGGGAATGAATAAACTAATCATGGTATAAGCCAGGTGCGGTGGCACATTCCTGTAATCCCAGCAGCTCAGGAGACTGTGGCAGAAGGATTGTGAGTTCAAAGCCAGCCTCAGCAATTTAGCGAGACCCTAAGCAACTTAGTGAGAACCTGTCTCTAAATAAAATATTCAAAAACAAGGGGAGGGGCTGCTGGGGATGTGGCTCAGTGGTTAAGAGCCCCTAGGTTCATTCCCCCAGTACAAAAAAAAAAAAAAATACATGGTATTTTCATACCCTGGATGTAAATGGTGATAAGAACAAATAAGCTGGCCATGCACTTAACATTAATGAAGCTCATAAACAATTAGAGTGAAAGAGACAAAGACAAAATTACATATACTATAGAATTTTTTATATGAAGTTTCAAAGCAAGAAAACACAAACTAGAGTATTTGTGTGTAGTGTGTGTGTGTGTATATATATATATTCACATATGTGTGTGTGTATTCAAACTATCACAAAAGAGGAAGCTGTGACCCAGGATAAATGTCCAGGCAGAGTGGTCTTCTCTGGGGGTGAGAGTAAGAGGTAAGAGGAGGGTTTTTGGAGTCCTGCTAATATTCCAGTCTTTAAAAGGGATCATGACTACGTGATGTTTTATTACACTGTACTTTTCTGTATGTATACTGGGTTTGATGAATTTTCAAGGGGTAAAAGAAAAAATGAGAGCAGAACTAGTCTAAAAAGAAACTCATGGGTGATAAATGCCATTGAAAATGCAGATATCATTTTCCTGATCCAAAAGTCCACTTCAGTGAACATAAAAGACCCTTCCTCCTTAGTATTAGGTAGGTAGGTAGGTATTCCCTCTTCATCATATAAAGCCTACTGCTATGGTGAAAGGAAAAAGAAAAGGGCTTCCTTCTGATAAACCATGACTCCTGAAGAAAAAAAAAAGTCTGTTTATGAAATAAATGGATCCAGTATGCTTTTGATGACCTTTAATTCATGCTTTGCCTCATCCACCTGGAACTGGGCCTTCAGAATGTTGTTCCTATCGTTTGTGTTCTCCCACCTGGGGTAATTCCTTCCCCAGAGGGTATTTTAAAGCTGTTTCTGCTTCCAATGTTACCTGGCATTATGACCATATATCATTCTTATTTTTTTAGACAAGGAGGAATTAGGAACTTCCTTAAGTTGGGAGGTCCAGGGATGCACCAAGGGTAACTATATCCTGCCTACTTTGGTGCCCCCTGTAGCTGCAGTTGGACATGGTCCTTCTCTTCATTTCCCACCCTAAACTAGTGTGAGCTGCTGCTCTCTATGTTCAACAGCTGTGGGGCCCTCCGCAGGCAGCTGCTGCTGGAGGCCATGCAAAATGAGTCTGATATGCGTGGCGCGTCAGCATTTTGGCTCTAGGCTCTGGATTCTATGACATGCTCTAGTGTACAGGTAAAAATTACATGCTCAGATCTTGAGATTTGCTTTCTGCCTCTTTTGTAAACATCTAAGACCAGCATTTTATGGGAAAGTTCAAATTCTTAGAAGCACAGAGATAGGGATGTATCTAATCAGCTGAATGTCTTGAATATTTGCGAATGAACCAAAGAATCCAAACCAAAGAAATTCAATGGGATGCAATAACGGACCACTCTGAAATCAAATTGCATGGACAAGTAAGTGTGTTATTCTGACTGCAGTTAGCAACATATCTTTAAAAAGTGTTGATAGTAAGGGAAGGAGGTGTAGGGGTTTTGTTTTGTTTTATTTTCATTTCTGGAATAATTTACTTAACATTAAATATAGGAAGAAGGATTTTATTAAAAAGAGAAAGAAAGCTTCTAGGAAAATAAAGATAAAGAGGGATATAGAGAGAAATGGAGATTCAGAGAGGCACAGAACACAGGTAAACAAAAACAAAATAAAAAACAGAGATGGTGGGAGACTAAAAGCAAAGACAGACTGTAGGAAAGAGAGAGGAAGACGGTGGGTAGGAAATTTCCTTACCTTTTTTTCATTTATTTTAGGTTAGATGTCAAAATAGAAGTTTTAGCACTTTCCAGATTGATATTGTACTTAAACTTATTTAATTACTGTGATGGATTGCATACTTACCACCAATGGCCTTGTTCTCACTCGCCCTAACTACTAATGGGCTGTAAATACAGTCTTTAAAAAATAACCCAGGTTTGATGTGGATTTGTGTTCACCTGTGTTAATGACATGCCAGGGAAATAGATTAGCTGCTGTCTGCCTGTGACTCACTGCATTATGCATTTTACCACTGACCTGGCTTGGCCTATTCCAACTCTGACTGAATGCAAATCCAGGTTTTTGTCATCTAAAGGAACATCTCTAGCAAAAGAGAGCTTTTATAGCAGGAGCAGAAGCTGCTCCAGTTATTGTGTGGTAAGCAGTTGTGTGTCCTGGGGGACTGTTCCCAGCCTTGAGTAACTTCAGTGGGAAATAACTAAATAGCTTTAAAGGGAAGCATCCAAGGGGAGGGGAACAAATGGGCTCGAGGCAGCAGAAGAATTACAGCATAATTAACTCCCAGACCGGCTCATTGATGGTATGTACAGCAGGGCTGCACAACCCTCCCAGAGCTTCCTCCTCAGCTAGAATTAAAGTTTAATTCAGTGTCAAAAGGGCATTAGAAAAAAAAAAGTACTGCATAGGACAATGGGGACAAGCCAGTGAACTTCATGGAGAAGGGATCATGACATGGCCATTCTCCCACACAGTTTGCAGAATGGGCAGATTTTAAGGCGCGCCTGTTGGATGGTCTGAAGTAGACTGAAGAAAGTCTGAGTCTGGGCCATTTGGGAGAGAAAATGATGGAAATATCTGCCTGATGCCTGGAGAAGCTATTTGTTTTGACTACTGCTGCTGCTATTTCCCTTAAGGTTGGAGCACATAGAAATTGTGGAAAATCAGTGCCCAGAGTGGAGAAAAAGCATTCTCTTCAAGCAACTGGGAGGCCCTGTGCTTTGGCTGCCATGTTTTCTTGGGCACCCTGTGCCTCTGCGCTCAAGACAGGAAACCCGTTATCAGCGGCTATCTTGCATATTTAACATCAGAGCAGATCATTTTTAGTATCCTCTCCTCTACACCATGAAATTATTTCCATCAATAACCTTGAAGCAAAATTTAAACTAAGGGCCAGAAAAGGCAGTGAAAATTTTCCCTTATTATGCTTGGTATGTATAATCTTAGCCAGAAAGAAAGAGAATTTTTTTATATTACAAATTTGTACATAAAAAAATGTGCAACATTTTCCTTCAAGCATTTTATATTCACCTTTCAGCTTGAATTTTGATCTTTTTAATACAATACATGATTCATACAAAGAATTGTCCAGCAACTTCCAAGTAAATTTCAATAAACCCAAAATGTCTTCAAAAAGTATAAGTCAAGCAACTCTTAAATTATAGTAATATTTTATTTACTAGATTTCTTCTTTATTTTTAAAACAAGTTATAATTTTAAAATGAGGGTACATTTAATTTTAAAGATGTTGTTCACACTTAGTAAAAATACTCCATGTATGAACTAGTTTACACTTGACAAAGATATGCCTCGTAATTACGTCCCATACTTAACAAAAATATACTTAACAAAAACATAATTAACAACTTGAAAATTGTTTCGAATTTTAAACACACTCAAACTGTTCACATAGGATGACAGAAAAGAGGCAATTCCAGTTCTGTTTCTTTGTTTTTTGCCATCTTTGTTTATTTCAAATCCATTGTTTAAATGCAGGAATACGCAGTACAATGGACAATGCAAGCTCAAATGGTTCCAAACCATCATAAACTAATTCTCCAAATAAAAGCTTATTCTCATTGAACCAGGAAGTCTCTGGATTAACTTCATAGAAAACAATGCTTATTTAAGATAAATAATAAGATATGCCGATCTGAAGTGTGTGCGTATGTGTGTGTGTGTGTGTAAATTCAACAGTAACCATAACTATTGCCTAACATTTAGATCATTAAATAAAACAGGAAAAAGTATTTTATCAGAACATCATTTAGGATTGGGGGCCCAGGATGATAATATGAGGCAGATCCCACTTCCATTCATTCGATTGTTGTTTTAAATGGCTTTGAAGATTAGCACCCCTGTTGCTGTCATTGGGTGGACCTCTCCCACTGCTCTGCCCTAGGTGTGCATACATCTGTATTCTTGCCCATGATCCCAGGCCCAGGATAATCTCAGCAGGAGCGGCCCAGGGCATCTCCACTAATACCAACTATGGTGAGGAAGAAGAAAGGTACTGGGAAGGAGTCTCCTGTATCCAGCTACTTCTCCTGCCAAGCCCTCAACCAAGAATTCCAGTCTGGCTCTTTCATTCTTCCCAACAACTCTTCCAAGGAGGGTTGTAATTCCCAGTATTTGGACATAGGAAAAAGTAGACTGCTAGAAGTAATGTGACTTATCCAGTAGCCCACTGGTTTTAAGTGGCAAAATCAGGATTATAACCCACATCATGCTGCCCAGAAAGGAGGTTTGAATTACCTCCTGAAAGGGGCATAGTGGAGTCTGTGGTATCCATGGATGACCCAGAAGTCCCTGACTGTGCATCAGTTCAGAGGAGACAGGCTGGGAGTCCTGCTGCTCTGAGTAGAACAAACCCACCTCTCTGGGGGGTCTTTCCTGAGTTAAATCAATCACCCCTCGAACACTAACCCAGTACCAGGAGAGAGTCTTCATTTGACTCACGAGATAGAATAAGTTCCATCAGAGGGTTTCTGAGAGTGCGACCTAGCTTGCTTACTTGCTTTCTCTTTTCTTTCCTTCATTTTGTCTTTATATCCTCCCCTTTCTCTCAATTTCTCTGTCTCTCTTTCCTTCTTTTTCTTTCCTTTTTAACCTACTTCCTTACTAATGTTAGTATTTTGGGTGAAATTGCTGGAGCTATCACATTAAGAGAATTTCTCATTTGGGACCTTGCATATTACATGTAGCTCCAAAAAGCTAATGAATCCCTTCATGTCCTCTTTACTACAAACCGGGTAATATCTTACATCTCTTTCTTTTCTTTGCTTCATTAAAAAATGATAATCTAACCTATGGCCAGAGTCAGAGGTCTTGTTCACTTGTTAGTATTGATCAGTATTTATAACTGGTATAGTGTTTTCCTCCCCCTACATAGTGCATATTGCAATTTCAAGAATCATGCCATAATAAGTGCAAGATTTGGCCAAAAATGAATCTGTAATTAATCTCATTCTCTCTTCTGTCTAGTTCCAAGGAGAACTATTTTGTCTCCTTTTGTTGTCTTTGTGTATAACCAGGCTCCTCCCCAGTCACCAACAGAGCACAGTGGCATAGTTGGAGCCAAGGACAATCCATGACAGAGCCTTCCCTGTGCTCTGTCTCCACTGGAGGATGCCCTTGACCCCCTTCACAGCAACAAGACAGATGAGTGAGGAAGGCCAAAGCAATTGAGTGCTTCCTCTCCCCACTAGCCAGCAGAGGGACAAGTATCATTATCACCATTTTCATCTTTACTAGCTAACCTGTTCCAAACCCATAGGAGAAAAACAAGCATCTTCAGAATATGTGTCAGTTATTAAGTTCAGCTGCATATAACACTAGTTTAGTAAGTGACTTAGTGACATATAAGTTTATTTTTTCACTTTCCAAAGAGGCCTTCCTTGCATGGCAGCCCAAAGAGGTGATGACAGATACATAGTTAGCAGGGACTCAGCCACATGTTCTCTTCTCCATCATCTTCAGCACATGGATACATCTTCAAGGTCACTGCAGGCTCCAATGTGGCTGTTGGAATGCCTGCCTCCATCTCTGTTTTCTAAGTGAGAAAAGGGAGATAGGGGGAGGCAAAAGGCTGAGGCAGCATTCTTAAAGATTCCTGAAAACCCAGCCAACAACTCCTGTTTATAAGAGCCTGGAAAATATATCTCTTTTCCCAGGTACAACACCAGAACGAAATTAGAGCTTTTTTCATGGGGAAGAAGAGGAGAGGTAATCCTAAGTAGACATCCAAGAGCCTTTGCTACAAGCTAGATGCCAGCTCTGAGCTAAGAACTTTATGTACATTACCCTGCTTCTTTCTCAAAATACTGCCACTAGACACATGCCATTAGACCCAGAGAAGTCTTGGGGATTACTAATGCAACAACTTAGTTCTATTCTGACACTGGAATAAAGCTTCAGAATTTAGATAATGTTCCTCAAATCTCATTTAATTCTCAAAAACACCCCTTGAGGTACATGTTATTCTTAACTTGGTTTTTATCTTATTTTTCATTTATTCTAATTAGGTATATATGACAGCAGAATGCATTTTGATTTCTTGTACACAATTGCAGCACAACTTCACATTTCTTTGGTTGTACACGATGTAGCATCACACCATATGTGCAGTCATAATGTACCTAGGGTAATGATGTCCATCTCATTCCACCATTTTTCCTATCCTCATACCCCCTCCCCCTCCACCCTCTCCTTTTCCCAATCAAAGTTCCTCCATTTTTCCCATGCCCCCCATCATGGATCAGCATCTACTTATCAGAGAGAATATTCGGCCTTTGTTTTTTTGGAGATTGGCTTACTTAGTTTAGCAAGATATTTTCCAACTCCATTCATTTACCTGCAAATGCCATGATTTTATTCTCTTTTAATACTGAGTAATATTCTATTGTGTATATATACCACAGTTTCTTTATCCATTCACCTTTTGAAGGGCATCTAGTTTAGTTCCACAGTTTTGCTATTGTGAATTGAGCTGTATAAACATTGATGTGGCTGTGTTACTATAGTATGCTGATTTTAAGTCTTTTGGGTATAGACCAAGGAGTGGTTTTTTTCCAGGGAGAAAGCTGAGGTCTAGAATGGTTTAAGTGATTGGCTCAAAGCCACAAGTTGCAAAACTGGAACTAGCTCTCAAACCTCCTGATACCTGGACCAAACTTTCTTTCCTTGAAAAGAAATACATCAATGTTTATAGCAGCACAATTCACAGTAGCTAAATTGTGAAAACAACCTAGATGCCCTTCAGTAGATGAATGGATAAAGAAACTGTGAGATAGATATATGTGTACATACACACAAACACACACACAAACATATACAATGGAATATTACTCAGCATTAAAAGAGAATAAATCATAGCATTTACAAGTAAATGGATGGAGTTGGAGAATATTATGCTAAGTGAAGTAAGCCAATCCCCAAAATCCAAAGGCCAAATATTTTTTCTGATATATGGATGCTAATCCATAATGGGTATGCTGCGGGCGGGTAAAGGAGAAATGGAGGAACTTTAGATAGGGCAAAGAGGAGGGAGGGGAAGGGATGGGCATGGGGGTAGGAAAGATGGTGGAATGAGATGGACATCATTACCCTAAGTACATGTGTGAAGATATGAATGGTGTGACTCTATTTTGTAAACAACTAGAGACATGAAAAATGTGCTCTATATGTGTACTATGAATTAAAATGAATTCTGCTGTCATGTATAACAAATCAGAATAAATGAATACATTTAAACTAAAAAATAAAAGAAAAAGAAAAAAATAAAGATATAGAAAATTTAGGGAACTTTTTATATCATCAACCTTTTCAATTTTTCCAGGTTGTTAGGAATAAAATAGTGTCATCTTATCTTTATTTGCATCTTGCTGATTGCCAGGAAGCTAAAGTTTTTGAAATGCTTATTTGCTATTTAAATTTACTCTTGTTTGAATTGGAGTCATTTTTTTTAAAATCTTTTATTTTTATTTGGTGCTGAGGATCAAACCCAGTGCCTCACACATGGGAGGCAAGTGCTCCACCACTGAGCTACAACCCCAGCCCTGAATTGGATTCTTCTCCCTTCACTCATTTTCAAGTGGCTTCTTTTTGCTTGTAAGTATTTTCTTTTTCTTTATGTAGTTTGGCTATTAATCCTTTGCCTGTTATATCTGGTGCAAATTTTCCCATCACCCCCGTTCTTATCTCTTCAGTGTTCCCTCATACAGAAGCTTTTAATTCAAAATAGTCAAATCCATAAATGTTTTTCTCTATAAGATGCAATTTTTTTCTACTTTAAAGCAAGCCTTCTCATTCTTGAGATAGACAAAATTCTAGGAGAAAGTAAAGAAATTCTGTATTTTGTTTTCATTATTGTGTTTCTCATTTATTTTTGCATGTTGTGTGAAAATGAAATCTAATAATGTTTTTACTTGGAAATTCTCCCAGTGCCATACATTTAATAAAAGATCTTTTCCCCAACTGATATTTTAGTACCACTTTTTGCATACATGACCAAGTACCATATGTGTATTGATCTGTTTCTTGGTCTTGTATGCTATTTTATTGATTTATTTTTCTACTCTAAGTTATCTTTCCACTTAAGTCCTCCACATTAAAAATAATGCATGTCTGAGCCTGATGCCTACTTTCCTGATGCTAAGCAAGCCTAAATTTGTAAGTGCCTGACAGTTCTCCAGGTAAGTAAGATAGAAGGCACATGGTCCCTTTGACTTCCAAGCTGGAGATTCTGCTGGCACTACTGAGGGGGTCTAGCTGTCAGAGTATATACCCATGCAGTAGAAGCAAGAATAAATTTGGAAGGTAGTGAGCAGGACAGAATGAATGTTGAGCTCTACACCCACACCTCATTCTCTGACATCACCAATGCCCACATACTATTTATGATCATCATTCTTAATATTAGTTGACCAAATATGCCAATTTTTAATAATAGAAGTACATAAAGATTTAAAATCTTCAGTTTTAAAATCATATTAATTTTGGAAACTATCTGAATTCACATTATATAATGATCTGTAGTTTACAGCACTTCACAGGATTTGTGTTAGTTTTGCATTGCTCTGGAAAAAAAATACCTAAGAGAAACAACTTCTAAAGAGGAAAGGTTTATTTTGGCTCATGGTTTATGTTGGTTTCCATCCATGATATGCTGGTAATATAGGTCTTGGAGATCAAGAACAAGCCCTCATTCCCCTGGTGTTGAAGATTAAAAACCCAGAAATGTCGAGGAAAGTGTTGAAAGCTTGTTTTACTTAAGAAAAGAGATAGCAATAGATTTCTCTGAAGAGAAGGAAGCCCAAAGCTGCATAGGGGTGGAGGGAGTGAGTGTGTCTTGCTCTTTTGTAGACCCCCCCAACCACCACACACACATACACACACACACACACACACTTTCTCTTTCTTCTCTGCCTAAGGGCAGAAAGGAGCAGGAACACAGTGGGTAATGGCTAGCAATTTCCTGTGCCTTGTGCTGGGAAGTTCAATCCCTTCCTGGAGGTTAGCTGTTAGTAACCCTTTGTCTTTTCTTTGATAACCAGCCCTCTTCTTCTCAAACTCCATCTCTGACTGTCAGACCTTCGCCCCCTGCCTCAGTCTGCTGAGGAATGTGACATACCCTGTCCCCTCAGGCAGATTACTTTTAGGCAAAAGAAATATGTGGGGAGTCAGTACAGTGGGTTCATTTTGTAGAATTATTCTCTTAACCTTGTGTCCATACCATCTTTAACTATCTGTCCCCTTACACTGGCTCTGTTGGTCCTAGGCCTGTGGTGAGGCAGAACATCTTGGTGGAGTGCATGTAGCAAAGCTACTCACTTCATGGCTGTCAGGAAGCAAAGCAAAGAAGAGGAAGACCTGGGGTCTCCCCTTCAAGAGCACGCCCCTCGATGATCTAATTCCTCCCACTAAGTCCTACTTCCTAAAGGTTCCGCCACCTCCCAGTAGTACCACAGGCTTGGAAACAAACCTTCCACATTTGGGGCTTTGGGGAACATTCAAGATCTAAACTACATCAGGGTTCAACTGTCTGTGCATGTTATGGTCTAGAGTCTGGCTCTTTGGGAAAGGTCTTCTGTAGCAGCTACACATATCATGGGCAGAGAATGTTAAGACTGGGCAAACATCTTGCTTATATCACCTCGAAGGAAGGAAGGATAAAAAGGAAATAGATCACTTATGGCAATCCTGAGTTGACCACAGCAGTTCTCTGTCATTGGTCTGAGAACCTAGACTCAGTCCAGAGGACAGGAAAGTAGGGAGGGTAGGGACCAGCCAGGGGCAGTGACTCATAGAGCCCAAATTTTGACCATCAGCCAACCCAACCATCATGGTGAAGAACGTGAGTCATGATTCTTAGTCAATATCAAGAAGCAGCTTCTAGGTGATGAAATGCTTTGCAACTCAACATTCCAGTCCTATTTTTCATATTCTACAAATCATAAAGTACCTGATCTGTAAAATTTCAAAAGTCCTACAGAAAACTCCTGCATGGCAGCATTAAGAATATACCACAGTCCAATCAGAAGACTATTTTCCATATTAGAATGTATTCTTCTACAGCTGGACTTTCTGTAGATAAGGAAGGGGGAAGAGAACTTCTAAAACACATTGTCTTTCTGATTCTGCTGGTGAGGTTTTACAAAATATGGCTATCAAGATGCTAACTGCAGAGTCAACATGAGTAATTGGCTGTCTCCATGGTTTCTGACATATTCCCTTTCCCCTATCTCTTCACAAATAAAATTTTGCATAATAGAGAGGTCAGTTTTATTCATTCAAGGAAACGTGAAGCTATTTCTGATTGATTTCCTCTAATTTCTATAACTGAAATTATATAATACTTTTATTAAATCTGAATTTTTTTAAAAAAATCACTTTACTATATATTCAAGGATATTTGTCTTCTAAAGTGTGTGGGTTTTTTTTCCCCGTAGCAAAGCTATCATGGCTCTTTGGGTCTTCACCAAACAAAACAAACTTTCTTTAAAAGGAGGATAATCCAGGCTACTCATTCAATATAAAGTGGAACAATAAGAAGTGGAATAGAGGATGAAATGAGAACCCCTTGTCCTCACTTAAAATCATGAAGGAACTTTCCCTTAACATCATCCTCTGATTCCATGTCTAGGGATTACATTTTAGGTAAAGCTGTGTTTGAACAAGATTCTCCCACTTCATCCAGTAATGAAGCACCTTGGGCAGGATCCAAGGCTAAAATACCTGCATTGTATTATGCATAATAGTGGGTCATGTTTATGCAGAGTCCCCATGCAATTATTCATAAGTTTTTATTCCTTTTTATTCCATTTCTTAACATGCAGACTTGACTGGCATGCTTACATCAATTGCTCTCTTTCTCTTGCTTTGTTGTGGTTATGTGTTTTAATGCAAACTCTACCTCCTGAAAGATATCCAGCTCCATGCCAGCTCTATGGAATCTGCAGATCTTCTCCCTAGAATATAAAGCAAGAGCTTGGGTTTAATTGGCCAAAAAAATGCATTTGCTAAATGAGGCTTTCCTCAAATGTCACTCATTCATTCAGCAAGTCTTTACGGAGCACCTCTTGGGCTCCAGGCATTGTGCTTGTCTGTGAATACAATAGTGAATGAAACAGATGTACAGGACTCTTGCCTGTGTGATGGTTACCACACAATGGCGCAGACAGCAACAAGAAAATATCTAATTACACATTGTGTTAAATGGGGGTGGGAACAAACAAGACAGCAAGTAATGTGGTGGAGAAAGCTCTGCCTAGAATAAGCAAGGGACACTGTCGAAGGGTGCCGGTTAAACCAGGTCCTAAAGAATAAGAAGACCTAAGCATCCAAAGGGAAGCATGTTGGCAGAAAACCCACAGATGGGAAGGTCTTAGGCCATCTTCTCTCGCCATCTCTGCCTCTATTCCTCACCACCCCCATTAGCCTCCATAGGGCCAGTCAACTCCTTTTCCTCCCAAAAGCCTTCCTGAGCATCCACGCATGGCTGTCTCTTCTACAGCCTCCTTCAGCACCTCATCTGAACCCCGCCCCCCAACCGACTCACCATTTAACCAGATGCTGGGTTGTATTGTTCTCAGATGGTTCCTGTGGTTAAACTCGTCTCTCCAACAAGTTTTGTAGACCCACCGAGGATGGAGGGCATGTGCCCCTTTTGTACCCCATACCATGTCTGCTGCAGCACTGGAGCGGAACTGATGGGGACGGCATTGAAATGAACTGAAGACGTTAGACCTACAGGGGCAGGTGAACAGCCGTGGCTAAGCTGCTTTTCTATCTGCATCTGCTCACATTAGATGAAATGCAAATAGATAGGCCCCATCTCTCTCTGTTCTATTTAGCATTTATATGACACCTTTCAGCACAGAGAAAATGAGTAAGTGGAACCAGAAGTGGCTGTTCCATGTGCTCATCCCCTTGCTCGACTCTGGCCAGGCATCTGGTCCCCACCTGCCCCTCACGTGCCCCTCCTCCCCAAAGGGGCAGGCTGCACGCACCAGTGTTTTGCTTTCAGCGCAGCTCTTCCCACGGAGCCACACACTGTTGAAAGAATGCATTGTCCGTGCTAAAGGGAGAACGCGGGTAGCACATTACAAATCTGAGCTGTTAAGTGATAAATGAGCAATGAAAAGCATCCTGACATCATTAAGGTGTTCCTGAACATGCTGTCTGCTCCAGCCTCACCCGCCTGCAACTGTGGGAAGGCAGAATTGCTGGCAGGGTCACCAAAGCCTGGCTTAGCAGTCACCAAACTGGATCATTCCAACCTCCTGAGGATTTTCTAGATTCTGTCAATTGGAGACACATTTTATAGAAACTGGTAGATTCACATCTCTGTAAACTTTCTTAGAAGGTAGGGCTCCCTTTCTCCATATGAAGATGAACTTGCCTGTTTAACGGCTTAGAGTATTGCCAGAGTTTGAGGCAGTCCTTCTGCACTGCCTCCCACCCCAGGTTCTGGATGCCCACCCCCAGTCCTCAGCATCCACATATGGACTGGTCCTCTGTAGAACCCAGACTACATCATCCACATATTCCCAGGTGCACCAGGGCTCAGCATGGACAGGGAGTCAGAGAGAGTGCCATTTAGGTGGTAGAGCAGCTCATGCAACATGTATGAGGTGGAATCTGCCAGGCCAGAAAGGGCATCTGTTTAAAATTATAAACTTTAGAAGGCTGCCTTGGGGCCTGAAAGCAACTACTTCCTCTCACCCCAGAATGCTGTAGCATTCTAAGTCTCTAGAGAAGAACCTGGGTATTGGTCAGCAAAACCAGTAAGGAGACACTGATTTACTTGCAGGGACCCCAGTGGTCACTGGGGTAGAAGAGGCACATCACCCCACAACAGCATACCTTGGGCTCTATCCCATGGAGCAAGAAAGCATGTTTTGCCTATTTCGTGGTAACAGTTATTATTCCCTGGGAATGCACGTGGTAACCTGGGTAGTGACTGGAGATGTGCTTCAGAGTCAGATTTCGTAGGTACAAGTCTTGTTCTTTCTCTTAATAGTCATGTGACCTTGGACAAGTCACTTAGCATCTTGACTTTTCCTATCTGAAAACCAAGGTGAAATTATGGCACCTGTAACATAAAATAGAACAAGGATCCAATGATGGCAAAAGGAAAGGACTCAGCACAGTGCCTGGCACACAGAGGGGAGTAGTGATCATTTACTCTTCATGATAGACCTACTTAATATGTCACTCACTGAATTATGTGCTTTATTTAATCCTGTAATTTAATCCTACAATAACTCGCAAAGAGAAGGCCTGTGCTTAGAGTCACTATGGTGTATTACTTACCTTGTTTCCCTAAGAGAAATATTTTCATGTCAGTGGCTATTCCCGCCTGCAATTTTTCCTTGAAAAATGGCTCCAGGATGGGTGCTTCCTAAGGGGAAGCTTTCTCCATTAGCTCGACAGGAGGGGAAACGTAAAGGCAGGCCTTGACCCACCATTACCAAGAAATCAACTGTGGAAGTGAGTCATCTATCTCACGCCACCAGGCTGGACTCGGTGATTAATGGGAGACATTTAAGATGAATAGACTTTCTTGTTAAAGTTTTGAAAATTAAAGATCTCAGAAATGTAACCCCAGAGAATGAAGGGGGCGGGGGGGGGGGAAGGAAGAAGAACAGAATTCTCTTTCTAGTTAACCTTCTTTCAAAAACCCAATCCCTTTCTGCCAAAATTTGGAGAACATCCTGTGCCTTATCCATGTCTTATGGCTTTCTTTGACTCCCTTCTCGCATCAGAGAAGACGTGAGTTCCAGCCAAAATGGTTATCCTAGTATAAAAGTTACCAAATGAGACAATAGAACAATTGACTACGCAGGCACAGGCCAGCAGCTAGGAGTGGGAGACACTGGGAGATAAGAGAGTAACATGGACCCTCACAGGTATTATTGCTGTGGGTTTTCGGAACCCAAGTGCACAGGCCATGCTGGTAGAACCCAGAGATCCTTGAGAAAGAAAAGATATTCAGCTGGACATTTCTTGAGACCAAGCTTTGAAAGAGCTCAGTACTGTCCCTATCACCACAACAAGGGAGACACTGCCTCATTCCGAGATGGGCTCTAAGACCCAGCCACCCATGTTCCCAAATGTCACCACCAGAGTGAAGCCACCTAAATGACTATGGCTGATGTTTATTGAGCACAGTGTAATGTGGTAAAAGTGCTGTCAGCCTTCCATTAAGATCACAGAATGGACGCATTTGGAAAGGGATTCTTCTTTTCTGGTTTACAAGGATAAGGAAGGAAGGTGAGCTGCACAGCTGGTAAGTGGAGAAGCCAAGAATCGGAGCCCAAGTTCTTTCCTTTGACCTTACAGCCACTGCTTGAAGATGAGAGGAGCAAAAAGGAATGAGAAGAAGGGAAGAAAGGATGAAAACAGAAGAAGAGGCATGAAGACCTAAAGCTGAGCTTCGCTATCACATGCTGCCTTAACAGCTGACAAAACATGGCGGGCCTCAGCTGGCCTGGCCAGAACTCCCCTCCCCACTGTGCTCCCAAGGATGAGGTCCTGCAGCCAAATAACCCTCCTTTCAAAGAGGCCAGGTGCACTTCCTGCTTCTCCCTGAATTTCAGTTCCCTGCCAGCTCATGGAATTAGTCACATAAACCAACCACATCTTCTCTCCAGAAGCAGGAGGCACCCCAACCTCTTGATACTACAAAGTTGACCTCCCTATGATCGTTCATTCTGTTTCCAAATGCAATAACCTGTGTGCCCTGCCTGGTGTGAGGTGCCCTCTTCCCCACAACCCCAGGGCCAGAATCCTTCCAGTGGATGAAAAGGAAGTGATCAAAACAGAAGGGAACCAGATCAAGGGAAAGGGTAAAGGTCAGCCCTGAGATGGCCCATCCACAGATTCAGCCATGGGGTACCTGTGTGAATCCACAGGCTGTGATGCCATAGTTAAGAAATCTGGAGACAGATAACCTAGATTCCAATCTTTTTTCTACCCCTTCCAGATGTGAGACCTCATGTAAGATACTAAATGTCTGTGTCTTCATTTTTCATCTGTAACACGGGGATGGATAATAGCAATTATCCATGCAATGTGACATTTAAATAAAATAACCCATGTACAGCTGCTACAGAAAGCCTAGCCCTCGGCAAAAGATGGCTGTCATTAATATCCTAAACCCTATGTTCTGGGATCACTTTTTCTCTGAATCCACCAAAGAACCCATTGGCCTTTCCTCATTGAGCCTTCCTATTTTTACCTACCTGACTGCAATATTGCATGTCTCTGAATCTTATGCAAGGAGTTTACAAGTTAACAACTTAGGAACCTAGTTCACCTATGCTGCCCCAAAAAAGAGCACTCTGAAACTGCCACAGCTTTTACATGGGAAGGATGAGGGAGAATTTATTCTTGGAGTTTTTTAAGTGTGTTGGAATCAACAAACATGCTATAAAGCTAGAGCAAAGTCTACTGTTTATTAATGTTTGGATATTTATTCACCAATAAAAGCTCCCATTTATTGAGTGTTTACTATGTGGCGGCACAGTTACAAGCATTTACATCGCCAACTCATATGCACAGCAACCCTCCAAGGTAGATGTAAGTATCGCCCTAATTTTGTAGATGAAGAAATCGAGGCACAAGAGATTCACCGATTCACTCAAGGTTCAGAAATTCTGTTGAACTGGGAGGGTCCAGGCAATGAGCTCTCTTCAAAGCACACTCAGCGGGGTCTCCTGTGCTACTGGGGTCAAGAACTGCTTGACTGAGACAGCACACAATCCTGTGATCCTATAATCACATAATGCCTAGCACTGTAACTATTTTCTACAGAAGTTTTATGTCTCCAATTAGATTATAGACTCCCAGGAGCGAAAAAGCTGAATAGGAACAATGTCCTAGAATAATTTGGAATCTGTTCCTTCAGTACTAGCTCCACTGGGCATCCCAGAGTAGACATTTAATACATTGATGACTATAAGCTTGGATTACAGGTTCTGTGAACCTCTGCTATTACGGACTGCCAATATTCTAGGTAGTTTATATCAATTCTTTCATTTATTCTATGAAGAAAGTTTCACTAATGTTATTCCCATTTTTTAGATGAGCAAAAAAAGACAAAAGAGTTAGAAACACACAACTAGTAAATGGCAGAGATAGTTGAGCAATGTGGTTCCTGAGTGTGATGGAATCCAGTATGATATAATAGAAGGTTTGGGGAGTGGGAGAGAGGAGAGAGGGAGAGGAGAAACCATAAACAGGCAGACAGAGAAAAACAGAGAATTTCAAGTTGTAATTGTTAGTTAGAACTGATGTAACAAATGTAGACTAGGTGGTTTACAAAAGAAAATAAATTTGTTGCTTCACGTTCTGGAAACTAGAAGACTCCATCTTAGGCAGGGTCAGGGCTGAGGACCTTACACTAAAAGATTAACAACAGAAAAATAAAACAGATTTACCTAAGTCTTACGGGATATGGGAGACTTTGGAAATGAAGACCCAAAGAATCAAGGAAACTTGAGTATTTTTATGCTGAGTTTGATAAAGAGTGGATAGTTGTGAATAAGCCGATTGGACAGAAAGGATGATCTAATGGTAATAAACTGGGGGAGCTTCTTGGGGCCTATTGTACAGATCCTGCTCTGGTCTCTGTATTCAGAGATAAGGACATTCCTTTCTTCCAAACACAGGCAGGGTGCCTCTCTGTGTGAAGATCTTATGATCTACTTCAGAGGAAGGTCAGGAAATTCTTTCTAGA